GAACAAAATAAGAGCATTGTACAGTCTGTTCATAGGTATCTGAGGTGTCTAAAACTTGGTTCAATATTCATAAATACCTACTTAATTGAGTATAAATAAATTCTGGACATTCCATAGAAAAATAACTTGGCTACCTTCTATGTACTCACATTAAGATTCATTTTTCACAAGAAAATACTATAATAAAACATGCGTATTCTAACTTAGATCAGATCGGAGTGCTTTTTTCATTTTTAGATAATCCCTCTTCGAGCAAAATTTATTTTGAGTTATCTCGCTCATTTTAATAGGCTTCATCCTTTACTAGAAGGGGAATTTATACGTTTTATTGATAATTAATCGAAGCTACGAAGACCGAGATGGTGTGGCTTTTTTGGTTGTATTCTTCTTTGTAGAAACATGGATACGAAAACATCTGGTATTACGGAACACATTGCACGGACCGGATGTGAAATCGACAGAAAGGCTGGCTGCATATGGTGAAAATACTAGAAGACGCAAGATCAGAAAGGCCATCAATATCCTGATACAAAGAAGTTTAATTTCCAGGATATTTGAAGAAGGCACAATTAGCGAAAACTTTGCACAATGCTTTAGCAAACTCGGAGGAGATCGGAGAACAGCAAGATCAGCAAAATGAAGACGATTAGATCAAGGAAATATTTTCAACTTCAGCAAACGAAGTCGCCAGGAGAACGCTACAGAAGATACATTGGAAACAAAGAGGAGGCATCTACAACGAATCTAATCAAAACAAATGAAAACACAACATTTGGGGGCTGGCACACGCATAAGAAGTCATAGACTTGACATTATGGGGCACGAGGGATTTGGTGGGGACCACAGATAGTTGGCTAATAGTGGATGAATTTGATGGTAGACGTGGTCCGTGATAAGGGAATCTGCAGTGTCAGGTTAGTTTGGGATCCAGCTTGAGAATTCAGCCTTTAGAGGCCTGTTTAGTGAGGTGGGAGTATGCATGCTATCAAAGGCTTGAGACAGAGTGTAGAATACAATGCCTCGAATAGCACGAATATGGTGGTAGTGATTGGATGAAATTAGTGAGCCAAGGAGAGGAGACAGATTCTCCGGTGCAAGAGGGAGACTCATAGGACATGGAGGAAGAGGATTGTGGACTAAAAGAGCAGACTTGCATTGACATTTTCGGTACAGGCGGGCTACGACGACAAAGCTAGCGGGGAGTGTTAATAGATCTCGTTAAATCCGCTCAAGAGGTCACTAGAACCAGGTTTAAAAATAAGCAAGTAAAAATGTGTGATACTTAAGGGCGATACGAAGATATAATATAAGTGAATGCACTAGGACAGAAGTACGGATACCTCAACTTTTTAGCAGAAAATTGGTCAAAGGGTCGACTTCACCTGCTTATGAATTGTAGTGTGGTGCTAAGAAGGGCAAGGTTAACTGGTGATGCTGGCGAAACATCTGGGAATGTATTAAGCTCTTAGTCCGACTAACGATTATCCTGGATACTGTGGCCTCCGAAAGGATACTGCGACCAAAATAGAAGCCACCACACCTTTGTCTTCATATCTACTATTTGACGTTTTAAAAATTGTTATCGCTTATCTCTACATTGCACATAAGCTCGTTAAAAACAGAATTCATAATAACAATTATAATTTTACATCGTTTATAATAATAATTTTACTGTGCGAATTCTATCCTTGGGCATGCGCATTATCAGTTACTTCGGCCGCCTTCTTCTACAAAGACCTAATGGACATAGCTCCGGAAACGTTGACTCCGCCCGCTCTCTTTAATTCTAATAGTGCACTCGGTCATTTTCCTTCTCTAACCTCTTCTGGACGTATGTCAGTCTCGGCTCAACTTTCCGACTACCTCCGATTACTTACTTATCCTTGGACTAACCTCCATATTGCCCGGCTTTCCAGATTCCTCCTCAACCATTCAATTTATTTGATGCCGGAGCGCCTCTTGCTTCCCCCGTCTGCGTTGGACTCCAGCTCGTCCGAACTAGATTACCAGCCCCACAATGAAGAGAGCCTTCTGAATAAATTATCAGCCTCCTCAGACCAGGTATTACTGAAATGTTTTTCTGCTGGCTTGCTACTTTACGACTTCTTGTCCCTGTCACAACACGTTTTTATTTTCCAAATACTTTTTTAAATAGAATTTTTTTAATATTTGCGGGCCGTGTGATAATTATACTTTTTTCATTATTTTGTGGGACTACATTCCAATTCTGGATTCACATTTATGGGTACAGACTGGTACTGCCACTTCTCCAACCGTTAATTAAGTATTGGGCATTATTTAGACGTGGATTTACTTTAGAGATTCTGACTACACAGCATACAAGATATCAGAATTGTAGAAGGATCCTAGGATAATCTTCTCTTTAATTAAGTTGAGAATATTCATTGGAACCACCTTAACCTCCTTTGCCTGGATTGCAGTCATCTTTCGATCTGTAATCGTGTGCGAA